TAGAGAATAAAGGTAGTGGATTTATTTTTTAAAGTCGACTAATTCTGGAACAGAGGTAATCTAATAGTTAAGAATTTTTGTTTTGTTCTGTTCTGTTTTGTTTTGTTTTGTTTTGTTGAGACAGAGTCTTGGTCTGTTGTCCAGGCTGGATTTCAGTGGCTAGATCTCAGCTTGCTGCAACCTCCACCTCCTTGGTTCAAGTGATTCTTGTGCCTCAGCCTCCTGAGTAACTGGGATTACAGATGTGCATCACCACACCTGGCAAATTTTTGTATTTTTAGTAGATATGGTGTTTCATCATTTGGCCAAGCTAACTCTTGGGGCCTCATGTGATCTGCCCTCCTTGGCTTCCCAAAATGCTAGTATTACAGGTGTGAGCTCTCACACCACATCTGGCCCTTGTGGGCTTTTTTTTCTGACTTACAGATTTCAGTGCAATGAGCATGATGAATGGGTCATATAAGTAACATTGTCTCCTTGTTGACTGCAGTTTTATTTCATTATCTCCCTGAGCTTTGCAAATAACTGAAAATCAGGTATTTTCTCCATTTTATTAAACTGTTAATTTGTTGCAAGAGGCCATCCACTGTGTCATAAGGCGTCTAGTAGTATTCCAGGCCCTTACCCCTGAGAAGCTAGTAGCATCTCTCCTGCCCCACCTCATCCCAGTTGTGACAACCAGACATATCTGCAAATATTGCCAAATGTCCCCTGTGGGGCAAAGTTTTTTCACTCACACAGATTGAGAACTGCTACCCTAGAGATTTAGTGTAATGCTTGAGACTAGAAGGTAGTCTGCAAAGAGAAGTCGGTTGAGCTTCCTCAGCACGTTTCTGCCAAAGGCCAGATGAATGGCTTCTGTGTGGCTCTTCCATGGCCCTGAGGGTGACCCCTTTTATCTCTGTTGGGACTGCAATCCCCTCAGAGTCTCTGTCTTAGTTTAAGCTGTTATTACAGAGTAGAGTTGATGGTGGCTTAAACAACACATTTATTTCTCACAGTTCTCTAGGCAGGGGAATCCAAGAATGAGGCACCGCAGACCCAGGTCTGATGTGCCCTCTTCCTAGTTTGCCATGGACATCTTCTCATTGCAGCCTCTTATGGTAGACAGCAGAAAGCAAGCTCTCATGTTTCATCATAAGGGCACTTATCCCACCCATGAGGGCTCCATCCTCATGACTTAATTACTTGCCCAAGGCCCCACCTTCTAACACCATCATGTTGAGGGTTAGGATCTCAACATATAAATTGCAAGGAAAGACACATTTCAGACCATAGCAGTCACTATAAATATCTTTTAATGAGAGTTCCTTAGCTAAAAGTTGCTACCACCTATTTATTAAGAATGGGCACAGCTGTCCACGGGATGCTTGTAGCTCAGCCAAACAGACAGCTCAACATTACAATAACATGATATGCAGCTTCATTTAAGAATGCTGTTGAGGCTAGGTGTGGTGGCTCACACCTGTAATCCTAGTACTTTGAGAGGCTAAGGTGGGTGAATCACCTGACATCAGGAGTTAGAGACCAACCTAGCCAACATGGTGAAATCCCATCTCTACTAAAAATACAAAAATTAGCCAGGTGTGGTGGTGTGCGCCTGTAGTCCCAGCTACTCAGGAGGCTGAGGCAGGAGAATCACTCCAACCTGGGAGGCGGAGGTTGCAGTGAGCCGATATCATGCCACTGCACTCTAGCCTGGGTGACAGAGCAAGACTGTCTCAGAAAAAAAAAAAAAAGAATGCCGTTAGGGAACGTTTAAGCAAGTGACTTTTTCCACATTAAAAAGAAAGGCTGAAATGTCAGATAATGGAGAAAATAGAGAGGGGCAGGAGCAAAGTAGAAGTGAGACTCGAAAGATGAAAGCAAAGGACCTCCTGGTCCTTTGGGGTCAGTAGGTGAAAGGTCAACCCCTCTTTGTCAATTGGAAAAATTTTGCCTCTTTACACAAGGTAATAAAGAAGTGTTTGCAGTCAGTTAGAAACTGGCACCATTGTCTGCTTCAGTGACCTTAGAGCTGCAAGCAGTGGATGCATTATCAATTATTTTAGATTATCTTTCTGAGATTTTTTTTCCTCTTCACTTCCAGCTGCCAGTGATTAGATGTGCATCTGGCAGCAATTTCAGTTTTTCGTCAAGTTTCTCAGGCAGCATTGACTGCTGGATGACACTCCTGTTGGGTTACTTCAGATGAGAGATTGGGGAAAAGAATTTGGAAACAAAAGCCACCCAATTCCTTCCCCCCACCCCCACCAATTATAAACATGCTTTAGAACCTAGGAATAATGCATAAGAATCTCACTGAGGACCCATTTAAGCATATTCATGTGATTTCTTTGTAAATACTTTTAATAGTATTAGAAGTCTTTGATTAGCAGACTTAGAGTAGTGGGGGCTTCAAGCCTCTGATTTTTTTCAAGCAATAAAAGTGCCATTTCTGATGTTTCTGTAGAAACCGTTAATTTGGGATGTTCCCAAAGATATGTGAATGCTACTGTCTCAGTATTTAATTTGTACTCTTTTCTGTGTAGGTAGACAGGTCCTTGTGTAAAATTATATTACACATCATATCTTTACTGCTACTGCTATTTTTACTTTTTCTCTTTGTTCTGGCATTTTCCCATTCCTCCTTTCTGAAATAACTTTGTTCTCTCTTCCCAAGATGCATCCTAACGTTGGCTTCAGATTCAGTCCTTGCCTGGCATTTGGTCGGTAGATTCATCCTTGTTTGCTAGTTCCACCAGAGTGTTTTTGACTGGTGTGTTTTCAGGCAACAGCAAGAGATGTGGGATCCAAGGGTTTCTAGTTCTTCATAACAGTAGTTACCCTAAGAGCTAATGATTGAAGGTTTATTATGTGTCAGGGACAATGATAACAAAAATGTCATGTATTATCTCATTTAATCTCAATGAGAACCCTATGAAATGGGCATTGCTCTCCTGTGTTACAGATGAAAACATTTGGGATTTTGGAGGGTGAGCAACTTGCCTGAAATCACAGAGAAAATAACATTGAGACAAGGGAAAAGGGAACTTGTCTTAGTTTCCTTTCAAATTTTATTTCAGAAATAAGTTTGACTTCAACAAAATTATCAGTCTTTAAAAAGCATGATAACCATGCAATAGCTCCATCTTCATTCTCAAAATAAACTTTTCTGGGGTTGAATTCCCTGATGTACATTTTTGAATTCAAAATTACCTACAGATTACTCACTTACCACTCAGGAAGTGGCAACTCAAGGAAACACACATTTATTGCCATATTGCTTTACTGTAAGCAACAGTTAATAGCTTTCTCTTTAACATGAGTTAATTAATATGGATCCTGCCTATGTATGGCCTTCTGAAATCTAAGTTGGATGGTATACTTTTCCATGCTCCTTTTACATTGACTTTTGTTTAAGAAGCGCGGTGGCTCACGCCTGTAATCCCAGCACTTTGGGAGGCCGAGGCGGGTGGATCACGAGGTCAAGAGATCGAGACCAACCTGGTCAAAATGGTGAAACCCCGTCTCTACTAAAAACACAAAACATTAGCTGGGCATGGTGGCGCATGCCTGTAATCTCAGCTACTCAGGAGGTTGAGGCAGGAGAATTGCCTGAACCCAGGAGGCGGAGGTTGCGGTGAGCCGAGATCGCGCCATTGCACTCCAGCCTGGGTAACAAGAGCGAAACTCCGACTCCAAAAAAAAAAAAAAGAATTACTAGAATAGCTCAGAAATCTTCATGACTTGCATTTCTATAACAAATATTCTTCAGGTAAAACAAAAGAGAATTGTGGGTCAAATATATTTGAAATATGTTGCTGTATACTTGTATTATAGTCAATTTCAATTGGTTTCAGACAGGGAGTGTTTCTTCAATAGTTAGACCCCCCTTTGTTTTTAAGGAACAGTTCGCCTCAAAGAATCCCAGATCAAATTCTTCTCGACATTTTCCCCTTGATATTCTCCTCAAAGCAAAAAGGAAAATAAAGGCTAAAACTTTTTTGCTTCTGTAAGATGATGATTTCCTGGAGGCGTTCCTTAGATTAGGGGTTTTCAACCTTTTTGGCACCAGGGGCAGGTTTCATGGAAGACAATTTTTCCATGGCTGGGGATAGGGGAGATAAATGGTTTCATCAGGCATTATTTTCTCCTAAGTAGCATGCAACCTAGATCCCTTGCATATACTGTTCACTATAGGGTTCACACTCCTGTGATTATTATTATTATTATTTTTTCAGACAGGATCTCGCCCTGTCACCCAGGCTGGAGTGCAATGGCACAATCTCTGCTCACTGCAACCTCCGCCTCCAAGGTTCAAGTGATTCTCCCACCTCAGCCTCCCTAGTAGCTGGGATGACAGGCATGTGCCACCATGCCCAGCTAATTTTTTGTATATTTAGTAGAGACAGGGTCTCACCATGTTGGCCAGGCTGGTCTCAAACACCTGACCTCATGATCCGCCCACCTCCGCCTCCCGAAGTGCTGGTATTACAGGCGTGAGCCACCACACCCAGCCCTGTGAGAATCTTAATGCCACTGCTGATCCAACTGGAAGCAGAGTTCAGGTGATAATGCTCATCCACCACTTACCTCTTACTGTGAAGCCAGGTTCCTAACACGCCATGGATCTCTACCAGTCCACAGCCTGGGAATTGAATACCCCTGCCTTAGATGTATGTTTTAGGGAAAGTCTTCCACTGAGCTTGAGCTTGCCCCTATTGGGAACTATTGGGAGTGGCATTGTCCTTTGTTAGGCCCATTTAAGGATCAGAAAAATGTATGGGAAGATCAGGGCCCCACAGCTGAGGGTACCTCATGGTTGTTTTGGAAGATGCTTGTTCAATTCAGTAGATTTTTCTTACATGACCAAGTTCTTCCATAAAGTCAACCACAACCCATATTATTGGGGATTCCAGCTAAAACTTGCGGCGAGTAGGAAATAGATTAAACACAGGTTTTCCCACTTCTCCAGTTGCCAAAAGTGATGTCAGTGGTGTTAATGATTCTTACCTCAGTCCACTGCAGACTGGGGATGTCTATGCAAATGCTTGTTCAGTGCCTGATTCCTGCGCTATCATGGAAAAACTGATGATGGTTGAGAAACAATTGGGTAAGTCAGACAGTTACTCAAATATAAAATCAGACTCTTGCTTTCTTGAAGCAATTTGACCCAAGGGAGAGGCAAAGAATGAGAAATCTATTCGTTTTTAACAAAAAGTAAAGGCAGCAAAAATAGGATCTGCCTGATTCCCTTTTGTCTAATTATGGAAACAGTCTTGCTCACAATTTTCACCATCCATACGCTAAATGAAGTTGTGATTGTAATGTAGGTCTACTGGTTTTTATCAATGCCAGACCTATAAAACCTGTATCCTGTATTTTGACCATTACAAGCAAAACCCAAAACCCAAAAGTGTTGTGAAATTACAATAGAAACCTCAGAACTGAAATGGAATTCCTGTGTGGGAAGATGTTGCAGAAACTGTGCCCATGAAAGCAGAAGAAAGACTGATTGGTATGACATTCTCACTTGGTAGAAAAGATTCCATCATATTACCTTCACGTCTTTTCGTAACAGGTTTATTTTGGTGGAGCTCTGTTAAAATTAAGGCTTCCTCATGTGCCTGTAGTCCCAGCTACTTGAGAGGCTGAGGCAGGAGAATTGCTTGAACCCGGGAGGCGGAGGTTGCAGTGAGCCGAGATTGAGCAACTGCACTCCAGCCTGGTGACAGAGTGAGACTCCGTCTCAAAAAAAAAAAAAAAAAATTAAGGCTTCCTGCCTGGGTGCTGTGGCTCACACCTGTAATCCCAGCACTTTGGGAGGCTGAGGTGGGTGGATCACCTGATATTGGGAGCTGGAGACCAGTCTGGCCAACATGGTGAAACTCTGTCTCTATTGAAAATACAAAAATTAGCCATGTGCGGTGGTGCACACCTGTAATCCCAGCAACTGGGGAGGCTGAGGCAGGAGAATTGCCTGAACCCAGGAGGAGGAGGTTGCAGTGAGCTGAGATGGCACCACCATACTCCTGCCTGGGCGACAGAGTGATACTCTGCCTCAAAAAAAATAAAAAAAAATTAAACCTTTCTGCCTGACAGTGCATGCAGTCTGACTTGAAATGAAGAGAGACTTTTTTTTTTTCCTGAGTCCTTTTACCTTGACTGTGTCATGTATATAGAACAAATTATATTATTGATAAAAGGAAGATTGGAAACATTTGGATTTTCATTTGAGGGGAGGAGCTGTTATAGTCTTGACCTCATTTTCTTTATCAGCATGCTTTCTGTTAATGAAAAGAATGGGAAATAATGGAAGTGGATATTCTTTGGCTTAAATTATGTATTAATATTTATTCAGATTTCCTTAATATATCATTGACAGAATACTTTTAATTATTGAGAACTAAATGTTCTTTTATAGTCTGTCTTCTCCGCAAATTCTTAATCATCCTGAAAAGTTTCCAGAATCCCTTCTGCCTTTGGTAGCTGGGGAAGGAGAAGTTCATGGGAGTGACAGAATTCAGCCTCACAGGCTTCAGCCGGAGTTGACAGGCTTGATGATCGCCTTTCGGTCTTCTTTCCTTTTCATAATGCGTGTGCCTTTCTTCATTGGTGGTCTCCTGAAGTCACCAGCCCTGCCAGAAGCTCTTTCACTGGGACAAAAGGGGAACTGGAGCGAGATGGCCTCTCACATGTTGGCGACTCTCCCTGAATTTTCTTCCTTGGCAACCCTGTGCACTGGAAGGTCTGGCCAGCAACCTTGTTATTTTCACCAGCCCTCTCCCATGTGACTTGCACCAGGCAAAAGTGCTATTTAAGCAGCTCCATGAAAGCACTGGCTTCTGGCTTGGCTGGTTGGCTTACCCTTTGCCATTTAAGACCACAAAACCAAGTCTTTCCAGCTCAATCCTGGCCTGTTTTAAAAGAAGTTGGTTTCCTTTCTTTAGCTAAAATGGCTTTCTCCTTTGAACATCCAAGTAGCAAACATGTTGGTCTTACCTCTAACTTCAGCTCAATCTTCACTTGATTGTGTATATGTGTGTGATTATGGTCTGAAGGCTTTCGAGCTGAGAATTGAGACTTCACCACTTAGTTTTGTCCTTTTCCAAGCTTCAGCTTACCCCTACACTTCCCAGCTCTCCCTTGTAAAGAATGGGGAGATTATCCCATTCCCTAGACTTTAGTGGCTCTCTGGATTTAGATCTTTTTGTATCAGCGATGACCATAGCTAACAGCGCTAGACCGGGAGAATGCAACTTCCTCCTTCTATGCTACTAACTCAAATGCGTGAACCAAGGCTTTAAGCTGGGAAATTCCTTTAATAAGTGTTTCACAGTCTATCTATAGGTCAGTGGTCTTTTTTATTCATCTGAGATTTTTATAGCCGGATTTTATTGAGATAGGAATTTTAATGAGGAACACCCATCTACTACCAGAACTATAAAGGTATTTGAGACTGATGATTATATATGCATATTATATATATGTATACATAATGTTTACTGGGCTCACATATATATTTGTGTACATATATGTATATGCGTATATATATATGCATACTGTATGTGTATATGTATTTACTGGGCTCATTTGCCAGATTCAGGTATGCTAAAAGAGAATACTTTTGCAATGTTTTATAAGGTGCTTTATTAATAAGCATTCTAGAAGACATGATTTGCTTCCAGTTAGTGGTACCGTGAATTAATTGTATCAGCAGCGAGGTAACTGAAGAAACGAATTGAGATAGTATGGGTATGCAGTTTAAAGTAATTGTATGAAATAAGAAATCAGCAGATGGGGGCAGACAGACTGGAGAGAGGTCACAGGCATCGTTGTCAGAATCTCGCAAGGCATAGAGCTACCCACTGAGCCCTCTGCTGTCATGAAGGTAATCTTTTCTAACCTGAGAGGAATCCTGCTCTCCTGGCTGTTTCAAATATTTTGCCTGTGCCATTCCCTTAAATACTTAGGCTTTTGGAAACTAAAGCCAGGGAGCCAGAAGATTTTCCTTCTTTCAAATTCCTACTCTCCCCATATTATACAATGCATTGGGATGATGGAAAAGGGATGGGATACCAGGAGGGTTTAAAAAATTGGATAACATTTCAAAAAATTTTCTCATCATGGATTTTTAAGAATGGGAAAGATCTAAGTATGATTAAAACAGAATTTTTTCTTTCCTACTTAGACTTTTTTGGGGGTAACATTTTAAAAGTTCAAATCCTTTAAGTAAATTGTGAAATTATAACCACAGCTAAGTAGTGTTTTTTCTGGGTGGTGGGGAATATAAGTCATGTTTATTCCTTCTTTACATCTTCCTGTATTTTATACATTTTCTGTGTTATATTCAAGATAACATTAAAAAGCACAGCTGTTTATGTTAACTGAAAGAGAAATATGCTGCTTTGATGCATTTCTTTAAGTGGAGGAATTTAATTTATATGAATTTTCTAGTTCAATCTATAAGATTTCAAACAGTGTATTGAAAAAAAGTCATCACTACAGTCATTTTTTAAAGCACAGTTGCATAAAGAAGAGTTACTTTCTAACAATTGAGTATATGACAATAGCCAAGCAACTTAAAATATTTTACTCTTATTTCCCTAGTAAAAGTAGAAACTCCTAGCAATGCCCCAGCTAGGTTTTTATTACTATATTGCCCTTGACTCAACATATTGGCAAGAAGTTTCAAAACATATAAATACAGGATGAAAACATTTGTCAAGGGTTTTGTCCAAGAATGCTTTGCTGAAAGTGTACAGATCTTTCCATCATACTTATCATACCCTTGTGCTGTTTCCAGCTGCTTTCCCAGTGAAAACAATCGGTAGACTGAGACAATGTAAAAGGGAGCAAAGCCTTTATTTGTTTTTTAGCTATTGCAGGCATAGTTTAAGTGGATAGAGTCCAGAGGATGTAAATTCCTACTAGATGCAATAATGCAATAATCCATAGGTCTCAAGTAGCATTGCTCAAATGTTGACTTATTTGATAATGCTTTAAAAATTACATTTTTCATTACTAGCAACAGGACTAGGTGGGTTTTATCTTACGAGAAGATACACACAGAAGGGTATAGTAGATACTGATGTGGTGATGAAATTTTGTCAAAATGTAATTTCCTGCTACCAAATCTCATGACAGGTGTATTGTATTTCTGCCTTCAGAAGTTATTCCCCAATGATGTAACTGGAGAGAATGTACTGTAGGAACATCATCACTTGATATTTGCACAGTGTCTTCTTTTAGGGAAATGTTTTGCTTTTTTGTTTCCAGTTTCTGCTTGTTACAAATGAATTTTTGCATTTGTAAAAGTTTGTAGCAATATTTGCTACCTCTGGTCAGTCAATTGTCTCTCTTCAGTCAATTGAAGTCGCGTATATATAAAGTGTATTTTACATATGTATGCCCACGCGGGCTTTTTCCTTGTTTATTCTAGCCTTTATCATTGTATTTATGCTTATTACGTTGAATGACTGACTGCAAGGCCCTAGTATGACATTGCTTTTTTTCTTTTTTGAAATATATTAAGTTACAACAATGTTTGCTGTTTTTACGTGAGTCGATTTATTGAAGTTCAGCCTTGCTTGATTGCCAGGATGCAGAGCTAGGGAGATATGGACAGATGAACTTTTGCCTCATTAAGCATATGCTGAGGTCTGTCTCTAAAGTCAGGAGACTTCCTTTCCAACCAACTCATCAGAGCACTGTTGTACACAACTCTGCTTTTCAAACTTTGGTTTTGGAGCTCTTTGGCTTTAGATAATACCTCGCTGGGAACTATTACCCAGCTTAATCAGTCCCATTATTCATGATATTTGGCTTTCAAAGCTTTTTGGCTGTCTCCAAAGATCAAACGTGTCCAGAGGGCTAAGACTGGCTGTTATAGAGACTATTCAAAAGAATATGCCCAAGGCTGAGCAGGCATTCCAAAAACGCTGCAAACAATGGCTGCATGACTGGAATAAGTATGCAGCTCCCAAGGTGGCTGTGATGAAGGACAGCTCTGACGGAAGGATGTCCGTGTCATTACTTGGCAACTCAACTTTATGTGCATACACATGTACACACACCCTGTACAAAGTCAAACAGGTGTGAACCTCAGACCTTCCTGTTCCATATGTCCAGCCCTCTACTGCCTGTTCCTGTCGCCACCCCCCATCAGCATTTCCTCACACTTTTTACCACCTGCTTTCACTTTTTCATAGTCTCTTATGCCGATGCCACCAACGGGCAGCATTTGTGGCTTACACAAGTGTTGACGAGGACTTAGGATGAAGGGTTTTGGAAAATAGTGTGCTAAGACTTCAGAAGGAAGGTATCAATAAAATCAATATGTCCTTTTATTTCCTGCTCTTTGAACGTGCTTGTGGATAATGACAGGGATCATTTCCAAGTGGCCCAAACTAATAGATAACAGCACCCCGTGAGCAACATTTGTTTCCCTCTCCTCACGGGCCCCCGGTCTCTTGTCGTTATGCATCCATGCAGGTTGGCACGTGTGTTGATAAAAGAGGGTACAGTGTGTTCCTGTATGAAGCTGTTCACCCACCCCTTTGGGAGAAGAGCCAGATAAGAAATGAAAAACATACCACATGCCCTTTGCCTTTCCCCCATTTTATATTCGGCAGTTTGTTTGCTTGTCACAAGTCCTTTAATAAAATGTGGCCTTCCTGCCTAATTACAGGCCCAGAGGTGTGAAACGGTGTTGAGCTCTAATCTATATGTTCTGGTGGGAACATTCCTACATGCATTCAGGAGACACTTGACAGTAAGTAAGAGACCTGGAGCTTGTTGTGGGGAGTTTCCTGGCTTACCAACAGCTTGAGTAGGGATGGGCTTTGCTTTCATCTGTAGACACCATACAGAGTAAATCCTGTTTCTCTGGCGATTAAAGGGGTAAATTTGGAATGCTTTCTTTTTTGTTTGTTTTTACATTGGGATCTTCATGCCAGGTCTTCATTAGTCAGTTCAATAGTTTGTTTACCTGCCTTTTAGAGGCAGGGTTAATATTTAAAAATAAACAGAAGTCTTCTAAAAGTAGAGTCCTCATTTGGTAAACTTTGACTAATCAGAAAACTGTTGCGTAATGAATGGTTACTGATCCCAGCCATGATGATTCCGTTCAAGAGGAGACAGGGAAAAAGACACTAGGTTGTTACAAAAGTAATGTTGGTTTTTGCAATTTCTTTTATGGCAAAAACCACAGTGACTTTTGCACCAACCTGATATGTTAGTCCACACTTAGGTTTCGTGTATTTTAGAAGCTGTCACTATCCTTGTAGATGATGTGTATTATTACTGCTACATCTTGACAATATCACAGTGTAGAATGCCCCCATTGTCTCTATAATTAGATAAAGACCTCTTAGCTTGTCATGGAAGGTTCTTCACCATCTACCTCAACCTACATTCATAAATTTAATTCATTCTACCCCTCCTGAGATATCTTGGGGTCTAGTGAAGTCACATCCTCTACTTAGCCTGCTTATGACTACCCTCTCACCCCACAGGACCTTGTCATATGTCCTCAATGGAAAGTATCCTTTTCCTTTTCATTTATTTAACTCCCACTTATTAAGTACCACTATGTGGCAAGCCTTGTGCTATGTTCTGGGGCTGTAATACTGAAGCAACATAGACACAATCTCTATTTCCACATCTCCAGATTATTGTTTTTCTTCCCGAGCCAAGCCAAGTGTATCAGTGAGGTGCTTCCCTTACACCCCTAGCTGGGAGGATTCTTTCCATCTTCCATGTGTCTAGAGCTTTTGCTCCCATGCATGTATCATGACATGTACTGATGTCTACTTCACATGCCATGTATTTATGAACAGAACTTGCCTTCCTTTCTAGGATTGCTAGAAGGCAGGGCTGGTAACAGACTCCAACTCTGTATACTTCCTAGTATTTACTGCAACCATGTACTCATTCAACAAGTATTTCTTATCTATGCTCTCTGCTAAATACCCTTCGGTGTATTCTATAGATACTGTTATTTATGGATAAGTTTTGAATGCATGAAAAACAAGGACCTCTAAAGGACTATGCAATGTAATACTTGGGTAAAAGATGCTTTATGAGGTTGAAAAAGTCTTCACTCAAAAGGGAAATCATGGATAGTGCCCCTTTAAAATTTACCCTCTTGAATTGCAAAGAAGAAATGCTGTGCCTCTGCCTAAATAACTTATTTCTATCAGACGTAAATCTGAATCCTTTTCTTTTCTTATTTAATGATTAAGTAGGTCTGTTTTTCTTGGGTCTCCCTTTGCATCTAAAATTTTCATGTCAAACAATGTTTGTGCACATTAAACATTGATTTCTAACTTTGTAATGTGAAGCTCGGCAACTTCACATTCTAAAATCTGCTGCTGATTTTTGACCAGAAGGAGATGGAACCTAGACTGACTATAACCTGCTCATATTTGATGGTCATTTTGTGTAGCAATTATAATGTATGTTTATGATTCAGTCACAACACCAAAGAACTTTCCATTTTTTTCTTTGCTGAACCTCTGAAACATCCAGATCATGTTGATTTTGTTTACAGATTCCATATTGACTACTTAGTGATTTCTTTAGACTTGCATTTTGAAATAAATAAAAAGCTAAATACAGTTTGTTGATCTTATTTAGGTGCACAGTACTATTTATGCCTGTGGCTTCAGTTTATATGACACTACCCTTTTAAAAGAAAGGTTCTCAAGTAGTGATTGTTCATTTTGAGATGCCTATGGTGATGAATTCTTTCATTTTTCTTTTCAGAATGAAGACCTAAATGACCTCAGCAAATCCTCCTCTAACTCATGGGTACCCAGACTCTAAATATTTCATGATTCACAACTAGGACCTCATATCTTTCTTGTCAGTAGATGGTACGATGCATCCATTTCAGTTTGTTTACTTTATCCAATCCTCAGGAGTTTGTTGACTGAACTGCACATTCTATATTGTGCCAAGGAAAAAGAGCACTGTGACACCAGAACAATGAGTCTGCATAAACTTCGTCTTCAACTTTAAGGACTTAGCTGGCCACAATGAGCTGATGTGCCCGCCACCGTGTCTTGAGAGAATGAGTTTACTCTCAATGCATTTACAAGATACATTTCATCTGCTGCTGAAATTGTGTACAACAAAGCATCACTGTAAATTATTTCATACAAAACTGTTCACATTGGGTGGAGAGAGTATTAAATATTTAACATAGGCTTTGATTTATATGTGTAATTTTTTTAAATGAAAATGTAACTTTTCTTACAGCACATCTTTTTTTTTTTTGGATGTAGGACTGAGGTATACAATGTTCTGTTGTAAACAGTGGAGCAAATGCTTAAAACAAGGCTTAAAAGAGTAGAGTAGGGTGTGATCCTTGTTTTAAGATTCTAATTCAGAAAAAATAGTAAGAATCATAGTGCCATAGATGGTTCTCAATTGTATAGTTATATTTGCTGATACTATTTCTTGTAATATCAACCTGATGTTGAGCTGAGTTCCTTATAAGAATTAATCTTAATTTTGTATTTTTTCCTGTAAGACAATAGGTTATGTTAATTAAACTGAAGAAGGCTATATTCGACTGGGTGTTTTCAAGTGTCAGCTTAAAATCAGCAATTGAATGGAAGCAAAATTACAAGAAGAGAAAATCAAAGTCTTCCATTGTATATATTGTAAAGAGAAGGAGACATGGGTGATTCCTTCAAATCAAAAGCTCTCTTTGGAATGAACAATGTGGGTGTTTGTAAATTCTGGAAATGTCTTTCTATTCATAATAAACTAGATACTGTTGATCTTTTCTTTTCTCCCCTCCCCACCCCAACTTTCTGTTAGTTTCCCACTCTATTCCCACCATTTTTTTTCTGTGTACACATTATATTTCGTATCCTGCATTGTCTTGAGAAAGATGGTCAGACAAGTGAGCGCTTGCTAATCAGAAATTAAAATTCCAGAAAGTGTTTTTCATCATGACCAGGGCTACATGTTACTTTCCCTAAGACCCTTATCTCATGTTTTTTGAGAACTTCCAGTGTTACATTAGTTAACTGAATGTAACTGGCCCATTTGCCTTGGTGGGTGCTGGCCTATTAGTGATTAGTTAATAAAGTGCAGTGTACAGAAAGCACGTAAAAGCTTAATGACCTGCTACTGAAACATGTAGCCAGCAGTGAAAATGTTAATTCTTTTCTTGTTTGAAAAGTATACACGTCTTGAAAGTTTTTTCCATGAGAAAAAGAAATGCAATGAATGCATTTAAATATATTGCTGGCAGATTTTTAAATCTTTTTACCTGGAAACTTCCAAAAAGGTTAAGGGAAATAATGCAAATATCAGGCTCCCTCTGAGTCAATGTAAACTCTCTATCAGGAATTCCCAGCCCTACTTTTGGAAGGAGCAACATTTTATTTCTCTGAGTGCCTAAGCTCCCTGGGTGGGAGTGGGGACTACAAGGAAGAGGCCAGAGTTGGAGGGCGTTGTAGTGGCTGCTGCCTCCTGATGAAGTTAGGGGACCCCAGCTCTACTCAAAAGGGAGTGGAGATAAATGGAACCCCTCACACTGCTGAGGCCCATGTTACTGTTCATTCAACCAGATGGCATGTAACTCACAAACTGCTGTGCAATGTTCATTGTTGCAGATTTTAATCATTTGCATGCTCATCAATTTCTAAGATAAATAGGGTCTAGAGTCATACGAATCCATTGTTTTCAAGGAACTTGCAGAATGACATCATTTCCTATTAGTAGAGAGCACTACCCATTTGGAAAATCTGATAGGAAAGTTGTTTTTTACTCTTTTGTAAAAAAGACTTTCTTAGTCAAACTAACTTTTCATTTTTTCAAGTAGTCTGATTCATACTCTTGCTAGTGGAAGAAGAGAGCAAGCTGCCCTGATCTTTTCCTTTGAGGACTGAAATAGTTAAAGAGAAATCAATGAACAAAGTCACTCCCAACCATTTTCCTGTAAAGCTGGTTATTATTTCTCAAGGAACCTACATTTTGAATATGTGTTACTGAGATACCTCTGCATGTGTAATTATGAACATGTTTTGGATGAGGAAAGGAATGAACAGACTGGAAAAATCTGTTTCTATTTCTCTGACTTTTTTGTTGAGTCAAATAGCATAAAGGTGGAAATTCTTATTTAAGCTGCTTCTAGTGGTGCCTGACCTGGTTTTTATGGTGGCATCAAACTACCGACTTAAAACTGGAAGTTGCTGGTACGCAAACCAAAAGCTCTTGCTCTGGCAACAGGAAGGGTTTACTTTGAGCAACATCAGCTGCTAAGTCCTTGCGTTCAGTCCCCATTGAGGAGAGCTGGCTTTTATCCATTTCAAAGGGTTGTAGGCCAGCCAAGGGCTTTCATTATTGAGGCTTCTAGTGGCCTCTGTTTAACCTAGAAGTTAGTGGGTTTTTCTTCGTGACACCAACCTCTCACAGCGTTCTTTCTTAGAGACTTAGGTAGAGTTTAAAAATTCTCTTTTGTGAAAAGAACAAATATATTTCATGACTTTGATGATATCTTCATTCTGGGCAAAAGAATGGCCCTAGAGCCAGCTAGAAGTGAAGAGAATCCATTAATGATCAACCACCTTAGTCAATAATGACAAATCAGTACTGATGTTACATTTGTGGCTATTTCTCGCTGACTTTCAAAGGTCAGGGACTCCCTTGACTAATCTAGTGACTGCAAAAATGGAGCTGCTAAAAATCATCTAGCCAGAAGTAGAGATTTTTAACCTTTCTTTCTCTGGCTTTTGTATTCTAGCTGTCATTTAAATTTGAGACATTTAAAGTATTAAGAAATAATTTTTCTGTACAGTAAGAAACAGTATTTTACAATACTGAAGTGCTGTTTTATTCTATCTTTCATCCTGAATGCAATATACCATGAAGTTGAAAACCTTAATTTTGTTTACTAAAGGTGGTTTAAAAAAAGGGGGGATGGGGTTTCACTATCCACAGGCAACGAGAACCATGAAAAATGGTCTCTATATGCGTTGTTCCAACTGCTGGTGACAGTGATCCCATATTTGGTCTCATGTTGCTTTTGCAGAGAGCTCTGTAGGTCAGTCCATCACACAAAGAGGCCCTGAATCCAGACACTGTGCATTAAGACCTTGACTGGGAAGAGACATGACCTTTTTGGTAGGCGTGGGAAGGAGAATGGGTGGAAGCCAATATGAAATTTCTTCTTTGAAATGACTTGACAGGGCAGTTAATGTTCCTAGGATGCCATGAATGATGAATGTTAGTTGGAAGTAATGCTGTATATGTATGTATATATATATAGCGAGCATGCACACGTGCACGTGTGTATGTGTACAGGCTGATAAGAAACTTGAGAGGAAGAAGCATGCTCTTCTAGAAACATGAGGAAATATGACCTTGCCAAGACTAAAAGACCTCCATACTGTGAACTCAGTTATGGAGAATAAAAACAACGTCCTAGTCAGTAGAACTAAAGATAAACACTGGTGCCATGCATCCCTTCTAAGGCAGCGCCACAGAACTTCGTGGTCCTTCCCTAGTTCTATAAGTCAGTTTCCTAAGTATGGGTAGAGAATGTGTAGCCTGTTGTGTGTCTCAGCTTGTGAAGAGAGCATCAGATTAGGTGCAGGGAGGACGTGGAATGATATTGGAGGTGCTCAACCCTACTCGAGGAATTTATTATGAATAAAGAGCTTATAATTAGCTAGTATGATTAGAAAACACTTAACTTAGGTGGAGAGTTATCTTTCTTTTCTAGTTTGTCAATGACTTGGCATTTGTGACATATATGCGGAAAGATCTGGTGTTTTAGAGTTCTGCCATTCACCTGGCATTTAAATCTCTCCTTGCTTATGCTGTTAATTTTTCCAGTGTTAACCAATATGCCATATGATAGGACAAATTCAGTAAACAGGAAAACTTGTCTGTATGTGCATAGACATTTGTAGAGCTTTTTTCTTTTTTCTTTTTAGAACTTTGCCATTGGCTTAAGAATGTAGTTCCCAAAACAATTATTTCTTGCAAAGTACTTTCCTTACACCTCTTGGCTACAGGGTGGGCCAAATTAAACACATATGTATTTTCATTTAATGTGTGTGGAGTTTGGTTTATCATCTTAAGATGGTGGTGCTGCTCCCGGTGCTACTTCATATGTGTACACAAAGACCAATGCATGGTCTGTATTGCTACCAAAACATTTACTGTATATATGTGTATAACATGTATTATGTATATATGTAATGGGTACCAGGCCAAGTATATCTTTTTTTATTTAGAAGTGTTTCATTTTTCCAAGTTTTCTTTATAGTGTTATGCTTATTTTCTTTTTTTTTTTTCCTGATTCTGTCTGGTACTTAGAGTTGTAGTGTCTTCATCATCAATTAAAGAAAACTGTCTAAATGAATTCATGGATGTAAATGTTAGTGGTCCTTAATGTCTTTGATTGCTGGACATGAAACAAACTGCCAATTAAATTTTGCTGGGACATTTGATTGGGTAAGAGCAGTGTATGCTATTTAACATACTTTCCTAAATGATTTTGGAACAGATAAGTTGGCCTCACCCTATCACTCTTCAGTTGGCTTCCAATGGCCACGTGCATAAAGAAAAAGACCTCAGTCAAGACTTTCAGCTGCTTTGGATGGTGGTGTTGGCAAAGGGAAGGAGGAGAGGGGAGTAAGACTCCATCCTCTTGGTGGAAAGTTTTCTGTTTCTTTAATATGCATGCTTGAATCTTCAATGTGCACACAAATCTCTTAAAGAGTTTGTTCGGCCAGGCGTGGTGACTCATGCCTGTAACTCCAACACTTTGGGAGGCTGAGGCAGGTGGATCACAAGGTCAGGAGTTCAAGACTAGCCTGGCCAAGATGGTAAAACCCTGACTCTTCTACAAACACAAAATAAAAATTAGCCAGGCATGGTGGCGGGCACTTGTAATCCCAGCTAGTCAGGAGGCTGAGGCAGAGAACTGTTTGAACCTGGGAGGCGGAGGTTGCAGTGATCCAAGATTGTCCCACTGCACTCCAGCCTGGGCAACAGAGTGAGACTCCATCTCAAATAATAATAATAATAAAAGAGTTTGTTCAAATGTAGATTGTCATCCCAGGGTCTGGGGCCAAGCCTGACAGCCTGCATTTCTAACCAGCTCCCAGAGGAGGCCAGTCCTGCTAGATCTGATGACATTGAGTACTGAGGCAAAGCAATTGGTGTTTCTCAGGGCTGGCTGCATATTCGCATGATCTGAGTGGCTTTAGAAAACATGCCCATGGCCAGGCCAACTCAGGGGACGCATGCTGATTGAATTGGTCAGAGGTGGGGCCTGGACATCCGTTATCGTTGATGCCGCTGCAACATGATAGATCATGCTTCCCAGCAGATTCTAGCAAGTGGTCAATGTGAAGAACCAGTGCCGGAAAGAGTTACCCAAACTTGTCTGATTACTAGAACTGCTATTAGAAATCCTCATTCTCTAGAGCGATCTAGGAATGTGTAGTTTTAAGAAGGAGACTCTTCTGCTTGGCAAGTTTAGGAAATCCTGATTTCTGTACAACTGGAGTTTTGTGGGTCATTTCACCACTACAAGGGATGATAACACCTACAATTTTTGAAAATAATAAATCATGTTGCCAATATCAAAGCAGTCATGCCCTCCCCTGCTTCTTTTAGCTACCTTGCTTAAACAACTTAAAATAGAATTGAAGTGTCCTATGCTTTAGGGGAAACTCATATTATTGGATACTTTAGTATTTTAAGGCTAGGCATGGTGGTTCATGCCTACAATCTCATGCTTTGGGAGGCTGAGACAGGAGGATCACTTGAGGTTAGGAGTTCAGGACCAACCTGCAGAAAAAAAGTGCGATCCCATGTCTACAAAAAAATTAAAAATTTAGTCAGATGAGGTGGTGTGCACCTGTAGTCCCGGATACTTGGGAGGCTGAGGTGGGAGGGTTGCTTGAGCCTCTGAGGTTGAGGCTGCAGTGAGCTATGATTATACCACCACACTCCAACCTGGGCCACAGAGACGCCATCTGAAAAAAAATTTTAATTAAAAAAATTTAATATTATTACAAAATTTTTATGAGCGTAATGCTCCACTGAGAGAATAGAGCCTGACTTTTCCACCCTTATTTGGTGCACCAGGCTAGAGGGATCTTCCTTCTGTCTGCCAGTGTAAGTGATAGTTTTATTGTTTAGAAGCAGCACACATCACAATTTAGTAAATGCTTAAAGTCATTATTTGATCTTCACTTTATATTAGCTTCCTCCATTTATACTTAAACACTGATTTTTCCCTCCCAGTGGTATTGCAAAGCAAACATCACTCTAGTCCCTATTGAAATTACATGTAAACATCACTAATTAGTATTAATTTGAGGGAAGTCTAGTTGGAATGAATAGTGCAATTTATAGCATAATTGTCTTATTACCTTTGCACATATACAGAAACAAACAATAGCAAGTAAACCGTTGTCAATGAAAGGCCTTTGAGAATTAATGACCAAGGAGAATTTGTAATTACCTCACTGATTCTATTATAAAAAATAGCAACATTTATTCTTCATTTATTATAGGTTAGCCACTAGGATTTATATCAATCATTTTATTTTCCCAGCAATCCAGAGGTAAATAAGGGGTAGGTCTGTGGTCACAGGCTGCTGAATGGAGGAACTGCTTTCCACACTGAGGACTTTTTTTTTTTTGGAGACGAGTCTTGCTCTGTCACCAGCCTGGAGTGCAATGGCAAGATCTTGGTTTGCTGCAACCTCTGCTTCCTGGGTTCAAGAGATTCTCCTGCCTCAGCCTCCCAAGTAGTTGGAATTATAAGTGCATGCCAATATGCCAGCTAATTTTCATATTTTTTGTAGAGATAGGGTTTCACCATGTTGGCCAGGCTGGTTTTGAACTCCTGACCTCAAGTGGTCCACCTGCCTCAGCCTCCCAAAGTGCTGGGATTACAGGCGTGAGCCACTGTGCTTGGTCTGAGGACTTCTTGATGATTTATATTTTCATTGACACCATTGCAAATCTCTGGTTTCCGAGTACTTAAAAAATAATTTTCCATTAATTGAAAACATTGTTACTCTAGCTGCTTTGTGTAACAAATTCACTGAGCAAACATCATCTCACATGAGCCTGAAAGTAAAGCTCTAGCCAACTGATAACTTTTACCCTATGAGGTAACAGGGCCTTATTCTATTTATTTCCATTCTTTGTCTTGGTGTCTAGCTTAGGTCATTTGTGTCAAAAGTCATTTTCTGGTTCCCTATTTATTTTCCCAGTAAGTGCACCACTTTTCACCATCATCATTGAAATATCTGGGTTTTTTTTAGGAACACACAAGGACAGTAGGTTAAATGTGAAAGCCACATGGAATCCTAACAGCTGTGATTTTAGGCATTAGGTTTTATGTATTACCTCCTGTAAACCCTTTTATATTAGAACTTTTACTATTATCTGTTAGGGATATCAATGATGAGAAAAATGCCAAGATTGGCAATGGGAAAACTGGGGAGGCGGATGCTTGAGTATCATCTAAATTGGAGAATGAGCCCTCACCTGAAGTGAATGAATGATTGAAGCCTCCTCTCTCATATATACCCAGTGCTTCTCAAAGCTTGAGCTGCAGACCACCTGTATCAGAGTTTTCTAAAGGGTTTGAAACAATACAGATTTTAACAAGGGCTATGGGAAACTATATTAACAAATGGTTTCCCAATAAAACACACACACACACGCATGCATGCACACATGCACACATGCGCGCGCACACACACACACACACACACACACACAACACACACACCTCTTTTCTCTGGGGTTGTTCTAAACCTGACCTCAAGTGGTCCACCCACCTCCGCCTCCCAAAGTGCTTTAAGGACATGTTATTGGAGTTCATTAGACAATATCCTTGGAGGAACATATTATTGGAGTTCATTGGACAATCACCTATCTGCTCCCATTTCTATGTTAGTTGCCCCAAATCTCAAGGACTAAAGTCCCATAATTGTAAATGTGAGAGAAGAAATGATATGGCTGGAGTTCCTCGTTGCTCCTGAAAAGCAAACAATCCGTAAAGTAGAAATTAGTAAAATTTGTCTAAACATAGGAAGTAGCATGAAAATAAGGATATTAAGTAAATTTTTACATATAGCATCATGCAGAATTTTTCTAATTCTATAAAATAAGATTATATATATATATATATATGTATATATGTAAATGGAAGGCTCTGCTCCATAATATTAAAAAGTGGTATGTCTGATGGTGTTGTGGATAATTTTTCTTTTCAATTTTTTTGTAGATTTTTATAATAATAGTATCACTTTTTATCAGGAGAAAGAAAATAATAAAATATTATTTAAAAATACAAAGGGAGCTGGATGAGAATCTTAGTGAATTTCCAGATTTAATCTTGCTACTCCATAGTCTATAAATCAAAGATCAGTTCCCCGCTATGACCTGGAGGCCAAATCCAGCCTGCTGCCTGTTTTTGCAAATAAAGTTTTATTGAACATAACTGCACTCATTCAATTACATATTGCCTATGACACTATGACAGCAGAATTGAGTAGTTGCAACAAAGACTGAGGCCTGAAAACTTAAATACTATTTGGCCCTTCATAGAAAATGTCTGCTGGCTCCTGCCATAGATATTTTCAAGACAGAATTGGGATCTGAGGCAAAGACCCTTGCCCTGGGCTTCTGAAATTCTCCTGTACCTGCTAAAAAAGCTATCCTGGAAGATGTTGGAGTTTTGTTGCTGGAATTACAGTGCTGGAGAGAGTTTATGATTTCCTCTGGCTCCCTATGCAATTGATTGTTGAAGTGCTCATAGGACTTCTTACAAGCGTTTATCTACAAACACCAGAACACTATTTTACAGCCAGGCAAGTAAATACAGTTGAGCTGAATTAGAGTAGAGCTAGGATGATACTTTTTTGTTGATACTTCCATCTTTTTAGATTAAAAACAACAAAAAAGTAGTAATCAGTTAGAGTTGTCCTTTTCGAATAGACATTGGGTTTCCTCAAGGGTCCATAGGAAGTTCAGAGCAGATTGCAGCATCCAGAGTGACAGAACCTCAACTCATAGGAGGGACAATATACAGGCAGGTCTTTTCCATTCTTGTTTTCTAACTTATGATCAGCTGCAGTTCTGAGAATAGAGGTGAGTCCCAGGAACATGAATTCTGTCCAGGAAGACAGTGCACGGTAACCTATCAGAGGAAAATAAAATAGCTGGGGGTTATTGGTTTAAAAAAAAACCATCATTCTAAACGGAGTCATGGATAAAATAGAAAGGTATTTCCTTGACATTTTAATCTTAAAACCCCAATATTCATTCATCACACCCTAAGGTCTAGAAGGGGCGCTGTCTGAGGTCACCCAGTTGGAAAGTGGGATT